GGGGTGGGGGGAGGAAAAATATATAGATAAAACCAATTTTTCATAAAACATCTTTCATAAAATTTGGAAGTCTAAGTTAATAATTACTATTTGATTATTTTTTAAATGAAGAAACAAAAAAATTCGCTACGAGTTTCAAGTAAATGTATCATACAGTTTAGTTTTTAATTATTCTATTTTTTAAAAAAAAAAACCTCTATGATTTCTATTGTAAACACGAAGTATGTATCTTTCCATCTATCATTTCCAATGTAATCACGAGGTACGCATCTTTCCATCTATCACTTCTAATTTAAACACAATGTATGTATCTAACCATCTATTATTTCTACGGTAAACACTGGGGCAGACATCTTACCATCTTTGACTTCTAATGCGCACGTGATGTGTCCCGTCCGATTACACACTAACAACTCTTTGTACCAGATGACGATGTTATCATTTTGTCGGATTTCTTTTGTAGCATCAATTCTGATATTCACACAGTAGCCTGCACACACACACACAAACAAAAAAATGCAATTCGTTTACTTTAATCATCTGGAAATCAACACATAAAGAAAATTTCTGTCATATAAAAAAAAAAATGTATACTTTTAAGAAAGATTAAAAAATATATATATATATAAATCATTGGCTCACGTAGAGCCTGGCAAGGAGCTTCAAGCCACCTCAGTAGTATCAAAGCTACTAACGTTGACATGGACTTAGCTAAAGAAGTTTGGGACATTCAACTCGTCAGATTCAGCATTCATACAAATTAGGTACTGCATTTGTTGGTAAATATTTTAAACCAGGAAATGGTGTAAGGAGAATTTATGAGGTCAGTTTAGGGTTTGGAAAAAAAAAGGGGGGGGGGGGTGCGTCAGAACGAGGTTTGTACAAATATTTCAACAACAAAAAAATACATTGTTTTTTGCTTTTTTTTCTCCCCTTAGGGGTTGGAAAAAAAAAGGGGGGGGGGGTGCGTCAGAACGAGGTTTGTACAAATATTTCAACAACAAAAAAATACATTGTTTTTTGCTATTTTTTCTCCCCACGAAGCTTACAATTCCTTAACATTTTTTAGCTGCAAATTTAGGTCAAGACTACACGTGGCCCATGTTGGGGATGCAAAGAAGCCCACCGCCACGGGCGAGACGTTTGCATTTATCTATTACATAACATTATTTATGAGTTGTTCGCGTGTGCGTTAAAGAAGGCGTATATCTTTGAGAGTTCTCTCCAGCTGCGCCCGCCCAGTAAACAGGGCTCACCGATAACAAAACTGTGAACAGGAAAACGTCCTATATTAGCGCCCATGACAAATGGGTTGTAGAGCGTGGCCAGGCAGAGTTCGAAGAAGTTGCGGCAGTTGGAGTGCAGTGGGAACGTGTAGGAGCTATTGATGAGTATTGCACCGTCGCCATCATTCACGGTCCAGAGCTCCAGTGATGCTGTCGGAAAAAAAAAGGAGAAGAGGACTTCATTTTGATGCTGATATAAGATATTAGCGTTGACAGACAGTCAGTGGCACTGACGTACAGCTTGTTACCACTGACGGACAGTCAGTGGCACTAACGGAGGAGAGGGATTCAATTTCAAACCCATATAAGATACTTGGTATCAAGGGCATCTAAGTATAGCTGTCGGGGACTTCATTTTGAGACTGATATAAGATACTTGGTATCAAGGGCATCTAAGTATAGCTGTCGGGGACTTCATTGTGAGACTGATATAAGATACTTGGTATCAAGGGCATCTAAGTATAGCTGTCGGGGACTTCATTGTGAGACTGATATAAGATACTTGGTATCAAGGGCATCTAAGTATAGCTGTCGGGGACTTCATTGTGAGACTGATATAAGATACTTGGTATCAAGGGCATCTAAGTATAGCTGTCGGGGACTTCATTGTGAGACTGATATAAGATACTTGGTATCAAGGGCATCTAAGTATAGCTGTCGGGGACTTCATTGTGAGACTGATATGACTGATGTAAGATACATGGTATCATGGTCATCTCAGTTGCGCCGTCGGGGACTTCATTGTGAGACTGATATGCCTGATATAAGATACATGGTATCATGGTCATCTCAGTTGCGCCGTCGGGGACTTCATTGTGAGACTGATATAAGATACTTGGTATCATGCACAGCCGGTGGCCCTTTCAGGGGGATATATCTTAAATCTGAAAATGATATAAGATCCTGGCTGTCAGAGACAACCAGTTGTTCTATTTTAAAATATAAAAATAAAATATTAATTAAAAAAATAAATTAAAAACATTTTCATCAAAATAAGGGTTGACATACTACAAAGCAGTTTTACTCGGTTGGCAGAACTGGTGGAGAAACAAGCCAGTGACACCTTCGGGGGGGGGGGAGGAAGAGGAGTGCGATATAAATAACAACTGTGTGACTAAAATGGCGCTGTCCGCGTTCAATCACTGGTCTAATCGAAACACCGACACGAGGCGCTGAAGGTTAAACTTTTTGTTGGTGTTGTCAGTGCTGTTCATATCTCCCATCTAAGCTCATCCCATTGCCTCCCTCCCCAAAGAGCCCCCAGTGCACAGCGCTTACAATGCTGCATGCTTTAGATTTAAAGCAGATCACAATGTGTGGTCCAACAAGGCAAGGCCGCCGCTGCCGGCGATAGTTTCGTTGCCCGCCCTAACAATACTAGTATCTCTTATCAAATACTCTTGTCAAATACTCTTGTCAAATACTCTTGTCAAATACTCTTGTCAAATACTCTTGTCAAATACTCTTGTCAAATACTCTTGTCAAATACTCTTGTCAAAAACTCTTGTCAAATACTCTTGACAAATACTCTTGTCAAATACAAGGAAAACAATAATTAATAAACCTGGCACTGGTCTCTGGTGCGATTTCGAAGCTGGTCCTCCATTTGTGCCAATCTTAAAATTTGAGAAAAACAGGGTTCCGGATTACTTAGAAAATACTTATCCAACAATAAAGTTACTTCTTGCCTCAAATCTTTTACCAAGTATCAAAGATGCCAAGGAAAATCCTAATCTAAATAATACAGCTTTAAAAAAAAAATAAATATTCAAACTTACTACAGTGTCTTACTTGCAGATGGAAAAAAACAACAACATGTATTGTATCTTTAAAACTTACCATTACATCTTTCGCTTCGGCTTATATTAGCTGAAACAAACAATATAGATTAATAATATATAATTAAACTTGCGATATAGAAATATATTGCACACAAAGCTTCCATCGAGCGAACACGTCACACGTTTTGGACTTAGTCTCGAACCTCCTTCAAATGAGTTGATCAAGACCCACCACCCCCCATAAAATTAACGATGCGTTTAAAAATTGAGGAAACTAGACTTCTAACTGAGCAACTAATTTACAAGTTTGTAGAGCTAAGGAAATAAATGTGTGCCTTATTAGACAAGGTAAAGACAATAACATTATACTAACATAAGTGTCATGTGCGTAAAGTAATTTGATTCAATTTGTTTTAATCATTACTTTTACCCCAGCAGCTCCCCCCCCCCCAACAAAGTACCACCCAATGGTTGCACGAGAGCCCCAGGCTGAACACGCTAATGAATTACCAGATAGAATAACATAATGTTGAAGGAATAAAAATATAACTATGTGCGTAAAGTAATTTGATTCAATTTGTTTTAATCATTACTTTTACCCCAGCAGCTCCCCCCCCCCCCAACAAAGTACCACCCAATGGTTGCACGAGAGCCCCAGGCTGAACACGCTGATGAATTATCAGATAGAATAACATAATGGTGAAGGAAGAAAAATATAACCCATTCCTATCAACGCACATGCATACATTTAAAAAAAAAAACACCTTTCATTCTGCCATAATCACCTATACTTTAATAATATAGTTAAGTTCAGCGCCTGGTTCTGTCAAGATACCCACATTGGATATCACAATTCAGCGCATGTGTCTGTCAAGATACCTACATTGGATATCACAATTCAACGTCTGGTCTGTCAAGATACCTACATTGGATATCACAATTATGGACAATTTCTTTTGCTGCCCACGGATACTACTTCCCAGCTAAGTGCTATTTCTTATTTTTATTTTTTATACCGTTTTTTTATGTTGTTTCGTTCGCTGACGAAGGCTTTCTGCCAAAATGTTCGATGTTTTGTTGCGTTTCTTTTTTCAGGTTTAACCCTTCTCTGTTTTACTCATTTTATATTGTGCTAACCTGATTGCAGTCTCTCCTCTTATTACCCTATCAGAATTAAACTTCTAGTTCTGTCGAGATGCCTAAATCGGTCATCACAATTCAACGTCGGGTTATGTCGAGTTACTCACCGTGAACATGACAATTCAACGTCTTGTTCTGTCGAGCTACTTACCGCGAACATCACAATTCAACGTCTGGTTCTGTCGAGCTACTTACCGCGAACATGACAATTCAACGTCTGGTTCTGTCGAGCTACTTACCGTGAACATGACAATTCAACGTCTTGTTCTGTCGAGTTACTTACCCCGAACATGACAATTCAACGTCTGGTTCTGTCGAGCTACTTACCGTGAACATGACAATTCAACGTCTGGTTCTGTCGAGCTACTTACCGTGAACATGACAATTCAACGTCTGGTTCTGTCGAGCTACTTACCGCGAACATCACAATTCAACGTCTGGTTCTGTCAAAGTTACTTACCGTGAACATGACAATTCAACGTCTTGTTCTGTCGAGTTACTTACCCCGAACATGACAATTCAACGTCTGGTTCTGTCGAGCTACTTACCGTGAACATGACAATTCAACGTCTGGTTCTGTCGAGCTACTCACCGCGAACATGACAATTCAACGTCTGGTTCTGTCGAGCTACTCACCGCGAACATGACAATTCAACGTCTGGTTCTGTCGAGCTACTTACCGCGAACATGACAATTCAACGTCTGGTTCTGTCGAGCTACTCACCGCGAATTTCACAATTCAACGTTCTCTGCCGGCCACAGCCGTCCTCTGAGAACGTAAACGCCAGCCACAGCCGATCTTTTTCTCCTGAATCAAAATTCTTCTCCCACAGCATAAACCGCGTGCATCCGGCTGGGGATTTAATTAAGAAGCAGCACTCGAACGCAAAATAGAATTAATGGTATATTTATAAAAAATATATATATAATATGAATAACTAGATATAGCCCGCCAAACATTGGCGACAGCAATGTGTGTACTTCCCATCTGGTAAAGTTACTTGACAAAACATGAACTCAAGTAACGCACATTTAAAAGAATCCCAAATATGTGCTAAACCCTCCCCCCCCTCCCCGCCCATGATACGTCACTGCACACTTTTTATTTCACGCCCAAGAACTATATTAATATTCTAATGTCCCAACCACTTTTAAACAGAATATTTTTTAAAAAATACTTAATTTGAGACGATTTCATTTCCGAAAAAAAAAATGTTACGCACCAAACGCAATTGCGTTACTAAAAAAAATATATATCATATATTGCTTAGTTATCGGGAATTATATTTTACGCGCTAGTGAACTCATTATTGAACCACACGCTGGCGTATCTATAAATAGCCTGCGTCTTGTTTGACCTTTGCTGGCGAATCTATATATATATATATAAATAAAAATATTGAAGCAAGTAAAAACGTGTCATAGGTCTGATGTATAAATTTAAGGGTGTGATATACTTATGTGGTCTGTCGATGCTTATATGTCTCTTTTAAAAGAGGGATTTAGAGGGATATTCGAGTTATTTTTTCATAAAATGGGGGCGGGGGAATGGGACCAATTTTAAAATAAAGGAAAAACAACTTTAAAGTAAATTCTCTTCTTATGTAGTTCTTGACTTATTTTGGTTGGTCGGAGTGTAGATAGACAAAGAGGTGGACTTTAAGAACGTGCGAAAAGATCGAAATCCACACAGACAAACAGACAAGCAGACATACAGATAGGCAGGAGATACAGAAAGACGGGTATTCATTCAGATAAGATGAGATATTTTTATTGATCTACATAAATGGAAATTTGTTGTTTTTTTTTACATTCATCACATACATTTCCTTCAGCCTTTGAAATGCTTGTTTGAGTTTTCCGTTGTTCCTGTAGCGAGACATTCGCCGTGTCAGTGTGCGGTATGAATAACTCTTGAGTTCTTGAGTGAGAACAGTTTTGGATTTTTGTTTGAACGCAGGTTTTCTTCTCCAAGATAAAGATAGACAGGCATGTACAGCGATTGGCAGGGCAGACATGAAGATAGACATGCATGTATAGCGATTGGCAGGGCAAACATGAATATAGACAGGTATACATATAAATATGCAGGTAGACAGATAGGCAGGAAGATACAGTAAGACATGAAGACTTTCAGATATGACGCAAATAAGACTAAACATAATAACAATGACACAACAATGAAGGAGAAAAAACAGAAAGAAAACAAAGAGCTTATGTATCGCTCATAATCTAGTACCCTCATTGCATAACAGATTCGTTCTGTTGCCACAACAAAGTGAGTCTGTCAACGTTAAGTAATAGATTTGTGTAGTTGGCACAACAAAGTGAGTCTGTCAACGTTAAGTAATAGATTTGTGTAGTTGGCACAATAAAGTGAGTCTGTCAACATTAAGTAATAAATTTGTAAAGTTGGCACAATAAAGTGAGTCTGTCAACGTTAAGTAATAGATTTGTGAAGTTGGCACAATATAGTGAGTCTGTCAACGTTAAGTAATAGATTTGTGTAATTGGCACAATAAAGTGAGTCTGTCAACATTAAGTGATAGATTTGTATAGTTTGCACAATAAAGTGTGTAGTTGACACATCATAGTGAGTCTTTCATCATTACATAATAGATTCGTGTTTTTGGAAAATATTTGGCAGTCAGTCAAAAATTACATAATATGTTCCTGTTGTTGACAGAGTATAGCGAGTCTGTCAACATTACATAATAGATGTATGTTCTTGGCACAATTTTGTGAATGTGTCGCAGTCTATGCAGAGGCGTAGCGAGGGTGTTTGGCGCCCGGGGACAAGATTCGCGCCCGGGGACAAGATCCATTTTAAAGCGCACCTTTTTCTTTTTTTCAACTCTCAAACCCATTATTTTCATCAATAAAATAATAACAAAGCACTTTTTGGCGCCCCTAACAAGCTGGCCCCTGGGATATCTGTCCCCCCTTGTACCCCTTCGCTACGCCTCTGGTTCTATGTATAGTTAGGGTTTCTCCTCTGGTTTATAAAGGCCATGTTAATATTAAGTTTTCATACGCATTCCTTCGCTAACACAGAGGCGTACCGCGGTGGTCATCGACTGGTATCATCCTGTTATTCACCTCCACGGAGACTCCTCCGTCTAGCTGGACGTCGGGCAGACAGAAGGCGATTTTGAGAAGCCCGCGGTGGTCGAAAGAGATCTCAAACTTGCATTCCTCGTAAATGTAGATTTGTTTTTCATTGAGGTCATTCTTAAGGATCACATACATTTTTGGGTGTTCTTGAAATAAATTAAATTTTGAAAAATTATTTTTAAAAAAAAAACAATTAAAAAACATTAAAATAACCACGACAGTCATGAGTTATGAGATACAATGTCCATGGACATTGCATATATGGTTAATGTATAATAGATTGATGATAATTGCTGATCACAAAATGGTATAGTTATGGTTGACATTTAATCTGTTTATATTGTGTTTATATTATGTTTTTTCAGTATTTTGGTTTAAATGATGCAATGAGTTGGTGGCCTGATCTTAGTTCCCACTTTTCCCCATCCACCTCTCAGTTAGGATACACGATCCATCCATTGCTGTGGCGCTAATGCCTGTGGAGTGCTTTGGTCTACTCAGCACTGACTTATTTCTTGTCTTGGATTCCAAAGCTATTGTTTATATACTGCATTGTCTATCCATCTCAACATATAGATCTGTCCTATATGTCTGTCAGATGGGAATGTTTTATAGGTATATCCTATAGGTCTTTTATATAGGTCTGTCCTACAGTTATTTCCTTGAGCCATTTTCCACTATGTTTTGGGTTTACTCCTTCCTCTCCCCTCTGTCGTTTTGCATCCATCTATGTATCCTGTCTTGTGTAGACCCCAAATGTTGTTACATTTCCGACGGGACACAAAATTCTACGTATTCTTTTATTGCATGAAAATCTTGTCAACAATATTATGTGAAGGCTTTTGTTTTATATAATGTGATCATTTATTTAGGGGGGGGGAGGGGGGCTGGGGTGATGGGTAGGGTTGGTATATCAGAGATCAGCAAAGTTACACAAAATTCTTGAAAAAACATTACGCCCCGTCCCTTCTCATTGTTAGATATCCCACTAAGCTTTTTCTATGTATGGCTAACACCCTGATAGCTGTGTTCTTTGCACATACACATGGTAAACTGAACACGGTTCATTCTCGGCACCGAATCAAAGAATATACAATCATTCCAACGTAATAATCAAGTGCTCTTATGGGTGGGCTCTACGCCTAAACTATGCTTGCTAACGTAAGCTCATTCAAAGCTGCTAACTCGCTTTAAAAAAAAAGCATCAGTATATATGTTGGCTCAAAAAAAAATGCGTAAAACTCTTCCAACTTTTTAAGTAACACTGAAGCAAATTTTTCCATCTCATTATGTCTTAGAGAACAAACAAAGTGATATGAGAATAAAAACTTATGAGGTTTCTTTTGCACAAAGTTAATCCTACACTTAGTTTTAACTTTTTTTTTGTGGGAGTGGGGTTAATGGAACAAAAGTTTGAAAAAAATTTAAAGACAGAATATATAATAGAAAATCCATCCCTTAGAAGACTTAAAAATATATTACCTATGCACGGCCTATTTTGAGCCATTGAAAATCTTACAGTACTCATTGAAGTTGCCCCTTTTGCATCACTACCCCCTTCACTGATGTTACTTTGGACTGGCGTGGCTTGAATTCCTGAACTGATGGTTTCGTTCAGATCAGTGTCTTTAAATGTAGAACTGTCTTTGTCGTTGGTGTCGTTGTTGGTTGAATCTGTGCTTGAATTTGAACTCATCAAATAGCTCGAGGAGGCAGGTGGGAAGTTTGATCTTTGGAAGAGCGATGATTGCATGGCTGATGCCTTGAGGATGGAGCTTGAGATCCGAATGCCAGATATCGGTGCCTTTAAACTGTTGGTGGATGAACCAACTTTAAATGTTGAGTCGGTGAAGGAACTTCTGATGCTGGCCTCTGGTTCATTACCGAAAGCTGTAGTATAGTGTTAAAAAATAATTGGACATTCATTTTAATCGTTGGCTGCGGAAGGGGGTTCTTTGTTTTCATTTAAAACCAGCCTCGTGGATAACTTTTGGCAATTAATATTGAGATCCAAGGTTAATAAAAAAAATTTATGAAATATCAGATTTGTTTACCCAATTTTCTTTTAATCATGACCCGCGTGTGAAGCACATTAATCTTTTGCCATATATGGATATCCCAGAGCCCTTGTTAAATTAATAGCCAGGGTCCTAGTCAGAATACTAATTAGAACCCTAAAAGTTGTTATATTCCTCGAACAAGGCAATTACTTTAATAAGAACTATACACACTAAATCAATATTTATACATTGTTCAGCCGCTTTTTTTTCCATCTCATTCTTACCCATGCCAATATTGTCCCAAACAAATAGATATGCTGTTAAAATTACCAGTACCAAGGAAACCATGTTTAATTTCACGTTATTGTTGTTGTTGTTGTTGTTTTTATTTTAAAAGTAGATACTGGCATGCGATGAAAAATAAATGTGAGATTAACACATAGTATTGTAAAATAAAAACACAAAATTATTCTGTTCCGGAAATGAGGAAAAATTATCTTTCACACATAAAATAAATGACGTCATTAAACTAATTTCTTAAAGTAATACAATGCTTTGATACAAAAAAAAAAAAAAAAAAAAAAAAATAAAAAAAAAAAAAAAAAAAAAAAAACAAAAAATGAAAAAAAAAAACACAAAAAAATTCTAATCAAAAAATAAGAAAAAATTATCTTACACACATAAAATAAATGACGTCATTAAACTAATATCTTAAAGTAATACAATGCTTAGATACAAAAAAAAAAAAAAAAAAAAAAAAAAGATTTAAAAAAAAAAAAAAAAAAAAAAAAAAAAAAATTAAAGTAATAAAATAAATAAAATCATTATAGTGTTCCACCAATAAGTGTCATTTGATTACAATATTTTTAACCCCCCAAAATAAGACAGAGGAGTATCAAATGATTTTTTGGGGCCAGATTTCTATTTTGTGATCCCCCCTCCTACCCTCCGCCCCCCCCCCCTCCACGCTTTCAAAGTTTAATGTTATTTTGATACTCCCTTTTTCGGTCATAAAATGAAGTGGGGTCATATGGTGCAAGATTTGGAGGGGGTTGGGATTGGGGGGGGGGGCATTTACTTGTCTCACTACTGATATTCAAATTAAAGGAGACTGGAGATTATAATATATTTTCTGCACAAACGTCGTCTATGGATTGTATAATTTAAATGAAATAATGGGTGGAAGAGGAAGGGGGGGGGAGGGAGGAGGTGTGAACTAAATGATAGTTTACGTCTATCAAGCTAAAACATTAGTAGGTCATTATAAATTAAAACGTTATTTTAGAAGTTATTATCGACTTAACAATCAAATCAAATCAAACAGCTGGCCTCGGATATAAAAAAAAAATAATTCATGCATGGTTTAACCCGCTGGCCCATCAAGTTAAACTCCCCCCCCCTCCCCCTCCCCACGATCGCAGATAAACTTTTTTTTTCCTTACTTATTTCAATTTACATAGAAAACGATTTTTAACCAAATAAGCGAAGAGAAATAACCAACACACATGACATTCTGTGACGTCAGGGTTTGTGACGCTCGGTGTGGACCTATATTTTGGCCACTCTACTTCCACGAAGAAAAAACAAACATCAATGGTTAACCCCCCAAAAAAGCCACCCGTCCCAATAAAGTAAAACGTGCCGCCCGTGGTGCAACGTCCCCCACCACCACCGCTCCTCCGTTCCTGCTTGAATAATCTTTATGTTGACATTCCCTCGTGCGTTGTGAGAACAGATGTTGTTAATTCTCTACATTATTGATTTGATGTTGATGACCCGCATAAAAAAAAAAAAAAAAAAAAAAA